GTGCGTGAGCCCACAGAGCCACGTGAGGACCCACCGGCAAGGGGACCCCCACGACGGCCCCACCCCAGCCTCCCTGGGCTCCCACGATCACTCACCTTCCCCCGCTGGGACCACAGAGGCGGGTCCAGCTGCCCGTGTGGGAGCAGCCCATTCTCCAGGCACGAGAGGAACTGCAGGAGGTGCCCGCCCTTGGGGAAGCGGAAGGGTGGCCTCTGGATCCCGTCCTGGCTGACCAACACCACCGTCCCGCCGCTGTCCACTGCCACCGCGACCAGCCAGAGAAGACCCAGCAGGAGGTCACTATGAGGCGTGGTGACAGGTCCCCCCTACAAACACGCCCCCCCCATTGGGGGCCAAGCCAGACCCAGGGGCCGTGCTCCGAGGCTCCGGGAAAGGCCTGGGCAAAAGGTCAGGGGCAGTTTTTACCACCCCCCCCGGCGTTGGTCTCATCCCACCCACCAGCCATCCCTGAGTGGGAAACTACAGGACAAGATCAGTAAGAGCGTGGTTGACCTCCTGAAAGTTAACTCCCGTTGCAAAAAGATGCCTCCAAACACCCTACACTCAAGAACCCGCTACAAATCTACCTGTCTGCTTTTTGTATGGAGGCCTTCAGACTGACCCCTTCTCAGGGCAGTAGTTGACTCTGGCTAGCATGTATTGAGCACTTACTGTATGCAAGCACAGCATGTTAAAGGCACTGTCTTGTTGTAATACTCACAATATCCCTAGGAGGCATATCTATATTATTGCCTATTTTACCAATGATGAAACCGAAGCTCAGAGAGGTTCAGTAACTTCCCCAAGGTCACACAGCTGATTAATGGCAGAGTCTGGATCTGAACCCAGGTCTGCCTCATTAAAAAGGCTTAAACCAAACACTGCTTTAGCGAGGCACAGACCACTTGCATTCTAAAGCAGGATGGCCCTCTGCTTGTTCCGACGGTACCTTCTCTGGCTTTAAAGGAGTGCTGCAGCTATGGGTCCCAGATCTTCAGAGCACTGACTTTGGAGTAGCAAAGACCTGGGCTGAAGTCCAGGCTCGGAAGCTTGCAGCCAAGTTGCTTCCTCACCTCTAAAGCGGGAATGATGTCACCCCAATCACTGGGTCATTGTGACAATTAAATAAA